TGATGTCTACTTAATTTGATGTGTTCATTAGAAGTCTTCTGTGGACTACTAGGCAGGTTGGAGGCCATTTTCCTTGTTCTTTCTCCTGTTCACGGTGTGTTGCCTTTGTGTGGTGTGTCATTCTATGTGGTGTTGCTAGCACACATTGTATTATAGCTTTCTTATTTGCATTGTTCTAGTATTAAATTGCTTTGTGAATATAAATTAGGTGTAATCAATGTGTACCTGGTATGTCAATGCTACAGAAAAATGCAGTCCTTCGCGTTTTGGTGCTAATTTTTTTAATTCTTGTAATTGGTGAGGTTATGAAATTGATTTTGGAATGAAATTCAATAGACAGATTTTACTGTATAGACTTCCAGTACCAAATTTTATTAAATCCCAATGAATAGTTTTTGAGATGAAATATATGGACAGACATAACCTCTCATATATGTGCACTTTGTGCATAGAACACAAAATTGTCGATGCAATGACAACTAATTCAGTGAGGAGACATAACATACAGGCCCCAGGTCCTATAGCAGGCATTTGCATTTTTTCTGATTTGTTTAAGGCACACAAAGATTTTATGGAGTGCGGAAACATGGCTCTATGATTGCACAGGTAGTTTTCTTCTACAGTTTTGCCACCATTCATCTTTGCGAACTGATGTCTGTTGCATTATGCAAGACACTGTATGAACTACAAGTATTACCCTTTGCAGCTCATCGATACAGCGGGCTCTTTTCTGTAGCATTGGTAAATGTGATTTTGTGTGGGAAAAATAATTGTAAACCTAATGTTAGAGTCGAACCATGTTGAAAGGGGTGTATTTCTAAGGTCCTTACTGTCTCCAGGTTCACTTTACCTTGAAGATACAGACATTATAGATAGCAATGTGGCATACTTCTGAGTAGTGCTGTCTTCAAGAAACAAGATTGCATTAGCATTGAACTGCCATGAAAGCCTGAAATCTTCTAGATTCTAAGATGGTAGAAGTCACTTGTCGATTCTTCTGTTTTTTATTACGCTGTTTCACTTGAATAAATTATATAGTCTCAAATGAGATGAGAAGATGTTCGTGGAAGGCAAGTAAGTTAGGATTTGGGAGGATGTGGCATGGCCTGTTTGACAGTGTTATTATTGATTAATTTGTGGAAACTGAGGAAAACTATATAAAAACTTTAGACAGGATAACTGGTAATCTAAGATTACTAACCTGTTTGTCATGGAATTTTTGATTGGTTTGAGTTACTTTTATTTTTAATTATAGCATTTCATTTTGTTATATATTTTGTTTTATTTTTAAAATTTGGCATGGGGGCCAGCCAGTCTCTTACCAGTTGAATTAAGAGTTCTTTCAAAGGGGTAAAGTTCCCAGAGCATAAACTGACCAGTTACCATCACTTTCACATAAGTATTGTTAAGATTGTTTGGAGCATGGTATGACACACCAGGAGGTGTTTACTAATTTGTTCTTTTTCACTTGGGAAGGAGGGGGCAGGGTAGTGTGAGCTGTTTTTGAAAAATGTACATACAGAAAACCCTGATAAATGATAGTAAATTCCCTGTTCCTGTTAAAATCTAGAATAATGTAATGACTTACCACATTAACATAATGTTGCGTCTTTTTCTATGATTAGTAAATTTCTGCAGTTTATGTGTTATATATTTGCGATTGACATGCAGTTTCTCAATGATCAAAAAAAAATCTTAAAGAAACATAACGACCAACAGCCCTTAGAGGAATATGAGAACAGAAAATGTAGTTAATTCAGACTGCCCCACTTTCGTGAATAGAACTTTTCTTATAACTCTGTGTCTGTCTAATCATACTTCTTTTGATGAAGCTGTAATTGATATGTCTTTCAGTCTGTCTTCAGCAAACATGTCTCTTGTTTATAGGCTTCTAAAAGCAAGGTTTTCAATTTTGAGCTCCATGCGTATAATAACTGCCCAGACACCAATGGATAAGGGTGTGTATTTTTCATTTTCTTAACTGTATGTACCACATGCTTTATATCTAGCAGCACATCACATTTATCATGTTCTTGAAATGTTGCTACAAGCTTTCTGGATTATGTAGTTATACATTAGCAATGTGCAAGAAGCATTTAATGCTACCAGGAAGCTTGGAATAAACAACAGTTGGCTCAGAAGAATGTGAGAAAAAAATATAAATGAACTACTTTTCACTTTTCAATTGTGTTCTATTGTTGTAATGTTAATGGTGGATCAGAAGGAATTAGCAAGCTGTCTTCTAAATATACCAGTGCTAAAATTATGCAAGTAACAGTCTGTTATGAGTGGTTATTTTCATAGAAAAAAAATATTTATGACTTTACTTGTCACATTGTAACTTCTTGTAACTGAATTTATACATTGTGAATCTCATTAAGTAAGCTTTAATACAGATAAGCATGGGATGGGTTACTCTTACATAATTACTGTTAATATTGCAGCAAACTAGTGCTCTCTTAAAGCTTCAATACACTTTCCTTGTATATGCAAATTGGAGTAGCAAATGTGTTATACTTTACGAAGTTAATATTGTTTGGTTTCATATATTTTTATATTTAGCCAACTTTTTGCATTTTGTAAGGAAGACTTTGGCTTCTGATATCATCACATTCATATGTCTGTACCTGCCTAAAATCTTCTGAACTATGTGACAGATTTTTGTGAAACCTGGTATGAATATCTTGCTATTAGCAACCACCTGACCCTTGTACTGTAAAGGGCAATAAAGGGTCAGTTGGGGCATATGTACTTTCCTAAAGTGTCTGAAGTTTTCATTGCAACTTTCAGATTGTAACTTTTCAACAGTTCTGCTACAATTCTCATTTCATTACTAGTTTATATAAAGGATAATTATTATTCTGTGTAATCTTGTGTTCTTGAATTTTGTTGTTGTCTTTTCGCATTGATATTACTGAGTGTAGCAAGTTAAAATTTGTAAGCTTGGAGAAGTTACACATGTCACAATGTTCATAACCAAGTGTCATGAAAAGTCTAACAGCCTCAATCTAGTTATTACATTTGAACAGATTGTTATCATGGGGAAGAGGTTAGGTTAGGTTAGGATTATGTCCTGCATACACAGATTGTCATGGCTATTGGCATTGTCATCATCATCATCATCATCCCACCTTATGACTTTCAGCACCTGTCATGATGGCATCTACATAAGTTTTGTTTTATAAAAATATGTTTTGTGATTATTTGCCCTCGCACCTTGATAATATATTTTCAATATTCTTCTCAGTATCATAAAGTTGTTACCCTTCTCATATTGGCTAATCCTGAAATCATGTGATGGGTTGCATAAAAATGTTGCAAGGTCCACATGCAGCCTGGGGGCCACATTGCAGATAGTTGATCCTATTATTCAATAGGTCTTTACAGTAATTGATCACTAAATTGTATCTCTTATAGCTCTTGGAAGCTTCGCCAAAAAGATTGGAATATTTGAAGCAGAAATGGGTATTGTATGTTCTTCCAAGGAGTTCTTGTTAAATATTATAAAGATGTTTTATTTGATGAAAGTAGCATGTTAATTCTCTGTCATAAAGTGATCTTTCAAAACTTGTTTTTGTCTAACTCAAACTTATTTTTTCTGATTTGTGTAATTATAATGTCAGTTTATACTGACATTTCTTTTAAGAGGAAGGATATAAAATTCCACTTTTTATGAAGAATAACTTGCATATTTTTTAGTTCAGAAGCAAAATTCCAAATTATATAAAAAGCTATTTATTTTCTTTTGTTCTTTTAGGAAACTGTATGTTTATTCTGAATATCTTTATTTGAGGTACATTTGTTATAGGGAAATAAGTTGTTCTTATGAAGATGGCTATTTTGTGGGATGTTTTACTATGTAGTCTGGTAGAAATTGACTGACATTTCACAGGCATGTACTGCCTCTATCATCAGTCAGTTTCTGCTATAGTAAATGGTGCTACATCCCAGAAGACGGTCATCTTCATACTCACTACCATAAGAACCTGTCACCTCACAAGTTGTTGTTATGTATTCATAACCAACTTTATTTATTGCTCATCCTATGAAGTTGTGCAGCAAACTTTATTTTTTGTGCGGTCTTTATGTAGTCTGAATAGCCCTCCAATGATCAGAACTGTGATTAAATGGAAACACTAGTTATTAACTCTTTCCTAGGTAGGATTTTAGGTTCTCGTGGCACTGAATGAGAGGCTGTTTTCTAGGATTTTTGCACTGTGTAGTCTGGTAGAAGTTTACAAACATGTCAGCAGTTCTTGCTGCTTCCATTATGAGTTGGTGAAGTAGTCTGAATTATAATAAAATATTCTAAACGAGCTGCCATGATATAGATCTTATAGATATGGACATCAGAGGAACAAATAATATTATTCATTCATAAACTAGGATGGTGTCATGAATTATTTCCCAGATGTAGTTTTTTTATTTTTGTACTTTTAGACATGAGTTTGAATAACCTTTGTCTTGTGGGATATTTTTATTATTTTCATACTTGTTCTTTATTTGCCTTTTCCATATAGGAATAGAGTATTTTAATCTCTGTACTGCCAAGTTGCTGGCTAGACTTGACCATCATGAAGTATAAATGTTTGTTTTATAGTTTTTAGCAATTTAAAAAATATTAACTCAACAAGCAAAAGTTATGCCTAAATAAGAACTATCACATATAAAATTATAATTTAGTTAAATGTAAAGAATTGTTTCAAGGCTGTGTTGAGGATTACATAACGTGAAAGGGTTAATGATTAAGGAGCATTTCTTACAATATATTTAATTTCAAATTTTCTGAATATATTTTATCAGCAAGATTGTGCTTAATATTTTCAAGATATTATGGTGTGAAAAAAGTGGTATGTCTGTGGTAAGGGTTTTAACTGTGTACAAAGCTTTGGAATTATGTGTTACATACATTTGTCCCCTCATATACCAGCTGCTGCCTTATCACTGCTGCATGTGACACAGTGCATGTTGTGATGTGCTTGTATGTGTTGGCACGTTAGGTTCTCAGCAAGGATTCAGTCACTGTTTGCGTGGATGCTGTCATATACTACCGTGTCAGGGAACCCCTGGCTGCTATCGTCAATGTCAACAACTACAGGTGTGTGTGTAAACCTTTATGCTTTCTAATTGTTTATTATCTTTCTAAATGTAGAAAATGGTTATATAGTTCAGTGCATTACCTTTTCAAGTATTAATTAATAAAATATGGATATGAGGATTTTTTCGTCAACTCATATAAAACAGAAATGATGCTAGAAGAAGGGGGGAGTAGGAGGTTTTTAACACCTGCATGCAGCTGTTTCTAGATAGTCAGTATACATTTCATTATTCATCCTTGCAAAGGACAGCCTGGCCCAGTTTTTTGATGGTGTCTTCATAAAATATACTGTTTCTGCGCAGAGGAGCACAGGAAGCTTTGTCCTTGAAAGATTAACACCAATAAATTATTTAAAGGCCAACTCTTTTTCTTGATAAATCAATAAAAGTCTTGTACCTTCACTCATTTGCAATCTGAGTACAGGCACAAGCAGACATATAATGTATTGTAGGCATGTGCCTCCAGTAACAAAATAAAGTTCTGTGCTGTTACATCAAGATGGGATCAGGTGTAAGTAAAAATTAAATTCAGTCCATGGCATAACAGCTCCAGAGAGCCAAAGCTGACTAGCTTGACTGCTGGCCTCACGTTCACACGCCTAAGCAGAGGTGAACGATCATCCATCCAGATATAGGGTGACGTGTGGTCAGCACGACGAACCCCCAGCCATTGCTAGTTTTCCTGACCGGGATCAGGTGTAAGTTGTTGAATTTAAAATCATAAAACTGCAATACTGACAGTTCTAAATGTTTCTGACAGTAGTATATTGTCATAAAAATTAGTTATTTTGTACATATGACCATAGGTTTTCCAAACAGTGTTTTAGAAACTGGTTCTGTTTTTCATTGTTAGATAGCAAGGGAACAAGGTTCTAATTTAGATAGCCCCTTTGGAATGCCGCAATTGAGAGTAGGAAGCTTCTTTCCCTGCTACCTGATGACAGAAAGAAAGCCAGTTTCTGAAGCATTTTGTTTGGAAAATATTTGCAATGATGGACAAGAGTTGGAAGTGATTGTGATGTTTGTTACGATGCCAGTCTTGTGACTTCACTGATCCTGGTATAGAGTTCACTAGATTAAGTTGTTATGCATTTTTCTATTTCATGGAGAAACTGACTTATGTTCTGATTCTGTGTTGTTTATTTCCGCAGTCACTCAACACGTCTTCTTGCTGCTACAACACTGCGAAATGTTCTGGGGACACGCAACCTGGCTGAGATCTTGTCAGAGAGGGAGGCCATCTCCCACACGATGCAGTCAGCTCTGGATGAGGCAACTGACCCTTGGGGTGTTAAAGTAGAGAGAGTTGAGATGTAAGAGACGAGTCATTCATATTTATTTCATACTAATTTTATGTATGTTTTATATAGACAAGAGTAAGATAAATATTTTGTGCTTGATAATATGCCCGTGTTGTTACGGAAAGAGGTTATACTGAATAATGAAGCCTGTTCAACCATGAACATTATAAAATCAAAGCACAGATCTCGACTTACTAATGCCCATCTTGACTATTGTTTGCGAGCAGCAACATCATCCTACACTCCCAAATTTGAAAAATTGGCCAATGAAATGAGCACCAAACATCACACTAACTTCCCACTTAAGTAATAATAATTGTACTTATAAAAGTACGTATTTTTGATTGCATGGTTTCTTGTATCATTAAACGTCGTGTTGTTTTGTGTATTATTTGGTGTCCATATCTTATTTGTCCAGAGAAAAGAAAATTTGGCTTTGTTAATTGGTTGGTGCCCGCCACGATCTCATAAACTCTCAAATGTGCCCGTAGGCACAAAAAGGTTTGGGACGACTGCTGTAAGGTTTAATAGTAACAGTCTTCATGTCTGTGATTTTAACAGTTGACTGTTTTATTCAAGATATATTGAACAAAAGGTATATGTATGAATTGATTTTCCAAAGCCAGGGTCATGTATGAGAACAGTATTTTTTCCATTCTTACTACTTTGGTATTTTATTGAAAACTAGCTAGAAATTCCAACTTTTGCTATACTTATGCTGTTAAAATTCTTTGTTGTACAAATAAGAAAGTCATTTTAATTTGGAGTGCACACACTTGTCACTTGAAATAAAATTATATTCTTTATTGAAGTGTGAGTCATGGGGCACGAGTGATTAATGACTAATGGTGCGATGTTATTACTTTATAGGAAAGATGTCCGTCTGCCTCTGCAGCTGCAGAGAGCAATGGCAGCAGAGGCTGAGGCTGCGCGAGAGGCACGAGCAAAGGTGATTGCCGCAGAGGGAGAGATGAAGGCATCACGAGCTCTGAAGGAGGCGTCTGATGTCATGGCCGAGAGTCCAGCTGCACTTCAGGTAGCCTATAGTTTGTTTGAGCAGAACACCTAGATATATTAATCATGAACAATGGTTTGAAAGTACATCATAAATATATGTATAAATGTAGCAAATTACAAATTTGTTGCAACAGATTTCAAGCTTTCACAGTGATTCATTGTTGTTACTTAACATTCATAGGAACATACGTCCTCCATTATCAGTGCTGAAGCATGATGATCATTACTAATTTGTTGCCAGTGCAGAACTTTTAGGATATATTTCTACTTTCAGTGCTCTTCTAATGTCCTGATTTTGGATTTTATTCCTTCTTTGTTCGTTAATACACAATAGAAACATTTGTAAATATATCCATATTTCTGATCTTTTTTATAAATTAATTATTTTAAACTGTTGCAAGCTTTATATTCAGAATTGATTGTTCCATCTGTTACATGGTTTTGTATTTTCTGAAATCAATTTGTTTGGTAGTCAGGTGTTTTACTTTTGATATTTAAATAACTTCATGGATCAGAGTTCTTAAGAAGCTAAGAATTATTCAGCTAGTTAAGATCTTCCCTGTTTTTTGTGGGAATTTAGGGTTCATTACTGTGTTCACATGGACCTGCCACTGGACACTGTCCTGTGGCAGATAAATCCAGCACACACCCTTCTTTTGCAAGATTAATATTAATTGAATGTCAGATGTGTTTAATTCTGTAAGATTTGAAGTTTTCACAGTGGTGAGTATGAAGATTTCTGTCTTTTGGGTTGTTGCGCTGTGTAGTCTGGTTGATGTTTACCAACATTTCAGAGGTCATACTGCCTCTGTCATCAGGGCGATGCAGTATGACCTCTGAAACGTTGGTTAACATCGACCAGACTACACAGCGCAACAACCCAGAAGACAGAAATCTTTGTGTTTAATTCTGTTCTGATTGTTTGGTTTCTAATAATGACTGGCTCTCATATAGTCTGCAATAACAGGTATAACAAATCTTATTTTAGTAGCTTCATCTGTCTTCTTGGTTTGTTAGTTTTCTTTTTTTAAATTTCTTTGACTACGCAAAATTTCTGGCAGTTGTGAAGTTACATCAGAGGTATGCACCGATAGTTATTTAATACATTCATGTTGTTTGTTACAGCTGCGCTACCTGCAGACACTAAACACCATATCTGCAGAAAAGAACTCTACCATTATCTTCCCACTGCCACTCGACATTATCACTCCCTTCTTGGGGCCCCTCACAAACAGGAAATAGGCGAACCAGCTGGCCACACACTACGAGGGGCTTGGAGCATAAATGGGTGAGTTGAAGGATTGTGTCAATGATTGAATCTTCTCTTAGACAAGAGAGTTTAGAGGGAGATATATTGGTTCATACGCCTCTGATATGTTTGGGATGGTAAGAGAAGATTATCATTTCAGTTGTATGGTTACCCTCATGCTTTGTATGTAGAAGGTCCCAGGTTCAGCCCAGAGGCTGTACATTGTAACTGAGATTTTCTCACTCCTTCAATGTATGCTGGGATATACTGTAACTTAAAAGGTCAAAGCTGTTTCTGGATTGTAAATATTTTGTAATTGATTTTAGATCTTTTACTACAAATCTTTCACCTGATGTGTTGGTGTTGCCATCTCGTCTGTGTCATGTTCGGTCTCCTCGTGTGTCGCCAGCAATTCAAATGGAATCGAGGAGCAGTAGAAGTAATTCACTTTATTTCATATAAGTGTTCATTTTGTGTGATTTCTTGTTTGGTCCAAGACAATTTGAAGAATGCTTCTAATGATTTGAATGTAGCTTTGATAAAGAATATAGATAATAGAATATTTAATGTCTTTAAGAACTATAACTTTACTTTCAAATGTGTTTATCCCTCAGATGTAAGTACATGTGCCTTTTAGCCAAATTCTGATTTATTTTGTTTAAAAATATGAAGTCTTTATTTTTGTTCATGGTATTAATGTATAATTTGACGTAATATGAACGGTTAGTAGAAAGAACTACAACAGTTCATTTTTGTGATTATAACAGAGGGAATCTGTCTGTTCCTTGAATTATGCTGTTGACATAGGTTTCAAATTTTTGTAGTTTCGCAGTTGAAACTCGGAGATCAGTTCTATCTCTCATTTAAATTGTGTTCAGTTTTAAATTAAATGGAAAGCAGAAAAATTTATTTTCAATTGATAAAACCGCGGTTGTTTCCTTTCTGCTATTTGTGTCCTCTCAGAAATATTACGTATAATCTTATGTGTCTGCTGGCAACATACTGATCCCTTGTGTGTCTCACCGAACATTTTGATGCAGTGGTTCTTAAAGTATGGTCTGTGAGCTTCATTCAGGTGGTATGTGGAACAGCAATGACTACAAAATTTTCCGATACAAAATTAATAAAACTATTTGAACAAGTAACACAATGCCAAGATATGTGTGGAATAAATAAAGTACAGTACGAATATTTTATTCTTATTTTTAGTATTTACAACACGGTGCATTGCATCTGTTGAACAACAGGCATAGATATTATTAAGTGGCCCACTAAAACCATGTGTTATTTTAAAATGGTCCCAGAAAAAGCTGTTTGGTTGCTTCTGCTTTTCTGAATAAACTTGTATTTAAGGATTTTTTTTGCCAAATTCACTATTGAAATTGATTCCAGTGCTCCCATGACTTGAGGAATAAAAAACCTTCTAGCAGTAATATGATAAAAGAGAAGATCTGTATTACAGATCATCATAATGTTGAATCACGGTAGGTAAAAGCCAATGCCAATATTTCAGTAATTTTAAAATATAATTATTAAATATGTATTAATCTTCTAAACATTTCTGCTGTGACTGCAGCTGAAATTTATTATAAACTGTTGTGGTCTTTAAATATCATTTCAGATTCTTTCCAATATACTCAGGGTATAAAAAAACTTCATCTGTCTTCTTGTTACATGTGCATTACATTTTGTAACAAATTTTTACTTTTAACCATTTGTGTTGCATAGACAGTTATATAATTTATATGTAAACATAAATATCAGTTTTTTACTCTCATAATAGAGAAATCTGGCTTGTTGAGTTCATTACCCGGTATATCCAAAGAGCTTCATAATTATAATAAATCGCAAAGTGTCATTAGTAAATATTTAACAAAATCTAACAAAACTCCTATGCATAGCAGATGACCAATGCGTCGAACAGTATATGATGCGGGAAAAGAAGCATATAGTCAAAGGAATGCAAGGGAGAAGATACAGGCATGCCATACTGGATTTGTCTAGAATGTTTTTGGAATGAAATGTAAATTTTAGAACTGTAATAGGCAGAATAAAAATGTGGATTGTGGTCTTGTGTGTTTTGATTTATTTTCTAAAATTAAGCACACTTTTCAGAGGCGTAGTTAGCCAATTAAGAGCATGTTCATTCCGCAGAGGTTTTCACCATTCTGCAGACACGGAGTTCAGTGTTTGTGCTGTCTTGTCACCATTTTTTAGATGGTACAGTTTGCGTTCTGAAAGACTCATCTGCAATTGGCTTTAGGCTCGTAGTACTGGCGAACCTTACAGATTCTGTTGTGGAAACCATGAATGGTAAATGTAATGTAATTATGCCCAAGTTTGTAATTGGGCTGTTTCAAGTGTGTTGTAAAGTCTGTGTAATTGAGTTTTTCCAAAATACCTTTTGGCTCGATTCTCCTGTCTTTCCCATATGGACATGCAGTGCCATTTCAGGCATCCTTTGCTTTCCTCGCTGTCTTTAAAATGGTCTGTTTCAGCAAGAGCAAATTTGGGGCATATTTAGATAAACATGGGTTCTGATGTCATGCAGACAATAATTCACATTTTTATCGCTGTGAAAACGTCAAATCAAACATATTTTATGTACCTAATACTGAACTCATCATCTGTGGTGCTGTTATGGTTGTAAATATCTTTGGTTGTTTCAGGTGTTTTTTTAAATGTAATTTCCCATATTTTATGTACTCATTTAAATGAACCTTAGGTCTACTAAGTTTTCTCGTAAGAAACGAATTGTTAATGTGGACACCTCAGTGAATATGTCTTCTTAAGTGTATGTAATCATAGAGTAAACATTAACTCATGTCAAATTTAAAATCTAAAAATATATTGTGAAGGAGTATTTTGAGAGCTTCCTGAGTGACGTTGAAATGTGTATCTGTGTACAGTAATTTTGGCCTTTGTGATTTAACTTCTAAATTTATTCCACAGCTTTTTATTATTTCTAATTGAGCACATTGCACCGAGAGCTTATAATTAAAAGAATTTTACAGATTTCTAAAAATCGTGAGTATGACTACCATAAAAATTTGGTGTCCATTGTAAGGCTGTCATGTATATGATCAGACACCAAAAGATAATACAAAAACAAATTCCATACAATAAAGTTTGATGTAAAAGAGTAGGCCTGCATCAGTTTTAGACTTTTTCTACCTATAATAATAATAGTACATTTGCATTTCTGTGCTGGATTAGTAATTTCAGTTTCAACAAAAAGTGTACTTATTAAACATTTCTGGAGGTATCAATAATTTCAAAACATCAAATACTGGTTTATAAATATAATTTCAGCATGATTGAGCAATGTGTTAGTTTTGATAGAGGGAGCCTTGCCTCCACTCTAGGGTTGTTATTTTTGATAGGTTGTGAGTACTGCAGCCTTTTCCCACTCACACTCCTTTCCTACTTCAAGCAACATACAAATCTTTTCTTATCTCAGTGTTGATATGAGTGTTTATGTTTTCTCATATGATGTAGTTTTTTATTGTGGCCTACTGATAACTAGACCATTACCAGAGGAATGACCTGGGAGTACTATAATGGTAGAAATTTTAAGAAATATTCTCTACATGATGACGTACGTGAACCATTCTTGCGCCGTCTCGCAAGTCAGACCACATTTTGTAACTATTATTAATTCCATTTGTACTCTTCATTAATGTTGAATGTCTTAGGATGACGCTTGATGATGGATTTTGAATCTTAGCTCAAATAAAAGTTGGTAGTTTTTTGATCAGTTGAGAAACTATTAATGTTTCTAGGAAGATATTGCAGGATGCTGTAGGTTATACACAGTTTCTGCATGCAGTTTTTTTTCACTTTAGTATCTTTACTTTAATGATTAGAGATTGTTTTCCCAAGTTAGCACTAACGTTGTTGAGTGTAATTCTATTGATGGAATATGTATGAATAACACTCCAGTTATATCTGCTCAGGAACAGATGTATAATGAAAGAAGTCTGAGTATATATTATGTGTTGAATACAAATGTAATCAGTAAAATCTTCAGGACAGATGAAATTATTTTGTGAGAGCAGCTTCATGTGACGCATTTTCCATTGGCATAACATTTTGTAGGATTGTATTTCTTTGAATGACTGCGTGCATCAATATTTGTTCTGTAGCACATTCACCTTTGCCATAAAAAATAACTGCTCAAAACTTCACTTTCCCATTCTTGTGGCCTGCACATCACAGTAGCTGTTGAGTTGTCTGAATCTTCCCCAAATTGAACTTCTGGTTGTGGTCTTCTTAAAGTAACCAAAAGACTTAATGTTCTCAGTGTGTGGAGTGTTATTAAATTTTTTCTCGCTGTATGTTAATGTTTCAATATTTTCATCAGAAGGTGATGTATACAAATGTAATGTGATTTAACAATTTATATGCATTTGTAGTTACCTGTTTCTAATTTAGTTGTGATTAGGGATCCCATATCTTGAATTCAAACTCTGATTTCCTGTTTACATAAACTCAGATGAATATAAATTATAGTTTTAAAGCTGGTAACTCATAGACACAGACTCACTTCTGTATTGCGCTGAAATTAAAATCTTTACCTCCAGTCCCCTCTGCATCTTTATGATATAGAACTTGCCTACATTCTCCCATTCAGAAGTTTGTCAGCAATTCTTAAAATGCTATTGATTTAGAGAAGGGTTATGGGATCCCTATTAAAAATACTTATGTTGATGTTTATTGTTGCACATGGAGATACTTTGTTGAATATAGTAATTATGCTGAGATTTATTAGTCTTGTTTGCACCATTTGCATTACCTTTAACAAAGAAAACATAAGATATTAATTTTACTTGAAATATTATAATCCATTTGTTTTAAATATGTGTGATTTTTGTATGATTCTATGTCAACTTTGTTGCTGATAAATTCAATGCATAATCTTTAACACTGACTTATTTATGAAGTAGCTGAATAAGGTTTAGTCAAATGGTAACATGTTGGGAATTTAATTTAAATTTTTGGCACTCCTGTCTGGCCAACAGATTTGTTTATTTCTTGGCTTATTTAAATGTAGTTTCTGAGCCTCCTGGGCCAAAAATTGAATCTGGGCCTACCATATATAAAGCAGGAGTGACAACTGCTTGGCTATGACATTTGGTCAGTCTGCAGGAACCTGCCCATTTCACCAAAGTCTGCCAAGCACTGACCCTTTGCTGTAGCAGTGTAATGACAGGGATGGGAAAACTGAAGTATTCAGAAACACTTGTACCAGTGCCACTTTGTTTGTTATAAATCATATGTGGACATCCCTGGAAGTGAACCCCACATCTGTGATGAGAAATGGCATGATCTGGTACAGATGGTAGATAAAAAGTTTGACAATTTATCTGGGGAATGATGGCAGGTAGAACAGTATGAACCTTACCTGTTTATGCCTTGGCTTTTGATTTGTATCATCTAGGGATGGATAATGGGTCAATTAGTGGTCAGTTCCACAGAGAGAGTCTAATGTCATTGTAACAGTAAAAGAATGAAGGTCTACAGGTGTGGACTGTATGCCTACAATCAGTTGTGATTGATTGTATACCATGGGGAAAAGGTTAGTGTTTAGTGTTGGTGAGAACTATTTTACCCCTTTGTGGTTAAAACCAACAGTTTTGCAGATTTTCTGAGAAAAAATAACGGTTTAAATCTACCACCACTACGGTTATAACGTCAATATTTGTACAGGACCAAGTGCGGCGGTATATTGAGGCTTGGTTCCATTATCATTAACCGATCCGCTGGAGTTGGGCACTGAAGTTGGTCTCTCGACCAACAGATGGCACTGCTGTTGGGGGTGGGGGGGTTGTGTTCATTTCCGTGTTGCCAGTACAAGTGGGAGGCTAAGAGCATCAAGTGAAACTGGCTGGAGAAAGTTTCTGGAGTTTGTCTTTGCTATAGAAGCTCTTTGAAACGATCGGGCAGTGCGTGTGCGCGCGCGGCGTCGTCAGTTTGAATGTCGGTGTTCGATCGTTGAGGTGCCAACAGAGTTATTGTGGTTTGTGTGCTCGTGTCACGAGTTTTGCAAATTCGCAGGCGAATTCGCGTCGTGATGTAAGAACAATGGAGAGTTGCTTCATGACATCTATAAAATTCAAACTCGTGACCAACCGCAATGTTTATGTGAAGTGTGTTCATGTGTGCCGAGTGTTCAGATGAATAAATTGTGCATGTAAATTTGCAGTGTTTTGAGTCAAACCGTGAAAATTTTGTGGAGCTACATTTCAATACTTTTACGGTGAAAGTTCCTGCTAAATGCTTACCATCGCAATGGGTCGAAGAAATAAGCTGGTTTATCCATGTCGCGTTGAAGGGTGGCTGAATGTTTGTGGTGAGTTTTTGCCGTTTTTATTCTTCTTCTTTGTACATTTTACATGGTGATCATTGGTTTCCGGCTTTTATCTACCTTCATATCTGTTGTAATCAATTGACAGCTGGAAGCACTTCAGTTGGCAGGTTATATTTGTGAGTAGGTGTCTACCTGTGTATCTTTACCCATAGTTATATAATCGTCGGATTGACGTAAGATCTGTAAAACGCTACACCATTGTACATTTATTAAAATATGTACGTTAAGAACACGATCCGAGGACAACATACCTGTGGCCTATTTGAGCAAAGGAAACACGTGTTGTAAATGTGTTTTGGTGACTTAAAGATATGACTGAAATGATTCGCATTTGCCATTATGTGTTATGCCTGAAGCTTAATCATCAGTCTGCCTTATGCGTGAAGTATGGGTTGAGATACAAGGTTTGTTGTTTTGACACTGATTTCTCTTGAAAATTTTAAACACTTATTAGATGCTGACTACATTGATTTTTTAAGTGCTTTCATATTTATTAAGACTTGCATAATTTTCAAGCTATCAATTTAAATTTAAACTAATATTGAAACCGACCTTTGTAAATTAGATTGTTGCCAAGTGACATTGATCCCTTTATGCACCATAGGAAACCTGTATATGCTTGTCTTTTCTTGACATTTCAATTTTGTCGCGTTCCTTGTAAGGTGTTTATCGCCCGTCTTTCTTGATACGGTCTTATTTTATCACAGAAATGTAGTATATTATCAAATTATAACAAAATAATTACTTTACAGAGGGTTTAGTATCATTCTTAAAAGCCATTACACGTGTTGTTTTGATACAGTACGGTGCCCCGAGCGTAGCCTGTCGAGAGCTTCCAACCTTCTGCTTGCGTTTCGATGTCCCGACATCACACGGTGGCATGGTTGCTGCAGAATGAAGTTTATTTCCTATAACATTCAAATGTTCCGTGTAATTTACGGCTTTGTGAATAATCTCCCGTTATCGTGCTATATCAGTTTAAAATTTTTGTCATGTATACAGTTAAGGTAGGAATTATAACAGCTTCCATTATCTTATTTGGCGCAGTATTGCCCAGTAAAATCCAGAAAGTCATTCGTAAAGTTTTCCTGTGATCAAGAGGACGGATAAAATTTTCTAAAGACAGTCATATGACGAAAAGGTAGTGAGAGGAGGTTTTGTGGGTCTCAGAGCCGGTCTGGACGTGGCGGCGAAGAGAACACGTAGAAATCAGAATATAGAGTGCATTCTGTACATTTAGAAAAAGACGTGTATG